GTTTCTGAGTCATTTATTCAACAATTAATGGAAAGAAAATTATTTGACATCACAAATGTCATTCAAATAGCTCTAGACTATAGTAACATGGTTTCCAGTTGACTCAGTACGACTTTTAGAAAAGTGCCAGGTTTTCATGCACACTAAGCTTTCTTTCATTATTTGAGATCCTCTTGTTTCTATTTTCCCCTTTACCCTAGCAAAATAACTTCTTTTTCCACTACCACCGCCACTGTTGCAGGCCTGACTTGCTTTGACTGCAAGCCCAGAATGCAACTGTGGTACTGGGCTTGAAACGATCTCTCCCTTTGCCAGGAAGCCTGAAGCAAAGGAAAACGAGGATATATACGTTTGAATTCCTGAATACTAGGTGGAGAGCAGAGAGGAAATCCACCTCAAAACAACAGCATGAGTCAGAGGAAAAACAGAAGAGGTGAGACAAGAGTAGTAGCCACATTCCTCCAAAGCCCCTCTTCCACACATGTCCATGCTTGGATCTGCATGCCTGAAGGGACCTGGGAGCATCAATGCACAGCCGGAGTGAATTTCCATTCTCAAGCCACAACATGATTCATCACAACCACTGGCCAACTAGGTTGCTGTTGAAAAGAAACCCTGGCATTTGGTGTAATTATGCTTTCTTAACTATAGCAATGCTAAATGCAGGAAATCCATTTTGTTATCATTGTTTTTCCAACATGCATTTAAAATGTAGCATTGTGAACACTGGCTGGTGTTACTCCCTCCATGGGATTTTCTCAGTGCCTTAAGCACAGCATAATAGAGTGCACTATCTTTCAACAAGCTGACACTTTTCCCCCCCTCAAACACAACTTAAACAATAAAGGTTAGATTTAAAGACACAGCAAGACAAACAGCTCCGTTCTTTTCCTTTAAGTTATTCACTAGCATTTAATGAGGATTTCCAGGGTAATGTAAGCCTTCAAGGTGAAACAGAAATGAATTGCTAAATAGAATTTACCTGAGGAGAGGTGGAAGAAGGAGTGTCTGGTGTTCTGATAAATATGGAATTGGTTCTCTTCATACACAAGGTACGCAGAAATTGGTGACTTATTTCTTGTGTTCTGAGTAAGAAAAAAGGCAAAGTGAAGAGGAAGAAGCAAAAATGATCAGAGCACAAGGCTGAATAATAGCTGTTCTAAAGAAAAAAAAAAGGAAAAAAAAAAAGCCAGTACTTTTCAGCCAGATCTGCTTTAAAATAATGGCACACAGAACTAGGTACAATATTTTCTTAATTTAGAATTTTATAATACTATCTGATTTGGCATCTACAATATATAATCATCAGCAGAATGTAAATGCTATAATCCTTGTGACAACATCTATTCTACCTACTCTTTTTGCTGCTATTTTAGTTTGATTCTAAGAAATCATTCCACAGCAAGTATTACTTCTATTAAGAAAGGTTAAGCATTGCTGAGTACTGCTTAGCAAAATCTTATTTACCTGAATAAATAGCTCCCTAGAAATGATGAATACACACAGTAATGTGCATGCTTCCATTTACACATAATATACACCCATTAACACTCACTGTGCAATAGAAAGTACCAAAGAGCAATGTGCCCTCTATCAGTTGAAGGAGATTTATTTAGCAGAGTATGATTCTAAAGGTAAGTTCTTTTTTAATACTTGGACTATTTGTTGGCCTGAATCAGACACAGAATCAAAGAATGGTTTGGGTTGAGATGAACGAGATCTGGAGCTGGAAAGAAGATAAAAAGCAGGTGGTGTGGTTTATGGTGCAAGTCATTCCTTCAGTGGCATTTATCTATGTAGGTCACACCTGAAGCCACACAGTGCCAAGGACATGATACCACTGGAGGTGCTGCCTTTGAGAGGAGATGTACAGCCTGGTGTTAACCTCCGTGAAACCAGCAGAGGCATGAGGTCACTGCTGGGAACAAAAGGCAGCAATCAGGGGAACCTGCTGATCACTGAACAGCCCTGGGGCTTACCACAAGCTTGGCAGGATCTCCAGTCCTCTGCCCTCACTGATTATCAAGATGGGAGAAGGGAGGAGATGGAAGGGGCTTGTAAGGAAGATGAAAGAGCAACTGAATCCTGACAAAGCAACCTTCCTAAGAGCCCTGTGTCTCATGTCAGCAGTTAGTTTGTATTTTCACATTTAATTTGGGCACTGCTGGACCAAAGTCTCCCAGGCACAACCTGTCACCACACTGATTTCAACAGTGTTAAAGTGGGATGCATTTGTCCTGTTGATTACATTTTAAATTGCCATCATCTCCTCTTTATGCTTGTAGCTTTAGACTGAGATTTCTTCTCTGCATTTATTTCAAGCAGCAGCCTTGTCACATATTATAGAATTCACACCACTGACCATTTAACCACCCAACCCCCTTGAAAGAAAAGAAGAGTTTCTTTTTCTCTGCCCTCTCTAGCAGATCAATGTTCAGGTCCTATCCATTCTCTATGGAAATGACCCCTCTGTCAATATCCTGTTACCTAATATTTACCACACTGGTGCAGAGTCCGAAAGGTAAATTTGAAAAGAGGCGATTTCAGCCCTCATAAACAACTAACCAAGAAATGCTTGGGGAACGGCAGGCACGTAGGATTCGTTAGCTGTGGCAGGGCTACAAAAGCCATTCACAACACCCTTGTTGACACTGCTTTACTTCTTCAGGACTCTGCTTGCTAATAAAACTGCAGAAGGATTAACCAAGGAGTTTCACAGAAATCGCCACAAAATGCCTTAGCATTTTTAAGCAGAAACCCCTTGGCACCGATTTTACAGATGACATACTGAAAAGGTTGGGATTTTTCGTTGCTTTTTTTTCTTTTTCTCTCTCTCTCTTAAAGAAAATAGGATTAGAGGTAGAGGCTTTTATATTCCACCACTTCTGAGACATATGTTCTGCTCTCCCACCAGTTATGAAGTGATTACTGGAGTGGCACAAACAGATTTTTTTTAACAAAGTAAAGGTGTGATTTTCTCAGGTTCTGTGAGAACATGCACACTTATTTTTACCAACCCAATCTGTTTTCCAGTAGTTTAATGTCCGCAGGGTTTATAAGGCTATCTTAGGTGTTGGATGCAACGCAGCTTGCAGGATGCTACCTGACTATGGAACTTTAGAGAAAAAGACATAGAGAAAGCAGAAATAATACAAGACTCAAAGTAATTTGGAGACAGATTTAAATATACAAAAAGACCGACCTTTTTTTGCTGCTTGCCCATATATAGTTCTCTAAAGCCTGAAGGCCCTCATATCGTAAATACTTGCTTCAGTTTAGAAACCTCACTGAAGATTTATCCTAAAATAATTTACATATTCAGCCTGACTTTAAAAAGTATTATTTTTACTCCACAAAAAGGAATTTGATCTTACAAACACTCACTGCCAGGAACAGCGATTCCCATGTGGGAAATGGGACTTGATCTCTTGCGCCTTGCCTACTTAAACTGACAGCAAAATGTTACCAAAGGAACAAGTGGAGAGATTTGATTTTATATCAGTTCACACCATTTTTCAGGTATAGAAAGACTGTGACAAGGAGATTTCTCTACAAGACAGTATAGGGAAAGGGTTCACACCTGATCTGGACTGCTCAACCATTCCAGATTCTCAGCCAAAAATCTATAACCACACTGACAAAAGGCATTTCTCCTCCAAAAGACTCTTAAAGCTAAGTTTTGGTTTGTTACACCAAGACAAATTTAGAATAACCACTTCAAATGCAGTGAAGTTACTCAGGACCAGAGGAAGTGAGAACAAAATTTGGCAAGGACTGTAAGGGAAGTAGTCAGTTAACATTTAATCCTTGATGAAAATCTTCAGGTCAAGTCTTCAAACAAAGAATTTACACTGGTTTAAAACAGACTATCTGAAAACCCTTTCATGGATATATTTCAGACAGGCATAATATCAGTATAGCTCATAATTTAGCAACACAAGCTAAGCTGTAGGTTTCCAGTCTGGTTAAAACCTATACACTTGAGCTTCTGCAAAGTTATGAAGTAATTTTAAGTATATAGTATGTCTGATAAAAACTCCTTTTGTTAAATCACTGAAACTTTACAGGTAGACAACAGTCTTTCTTACATAGGACAACATGCCTGAAATATGGTTCTGTTCAATGACTTTATCAGTGCTATTAAGACAAGGGGTTTGCAGGTTATTTTGTTGACACAGGATAGTTCAGCCCTCCTTATCAAGATTTTTCTCAAGAACAGTCTTCATCCTTACCTCTACACTGAGGGATTGGACAGTGAGGTCAAAGTTGTTAGTCCCTGACAAAAGCCTTAGCAGGTCCCACTAAGCACACTCGGTAGGATTTTTTGTTGTTGCTGCTTGTTATTTTGGATGAACAGTACCCCCTCCTTGCAAACTGGGATTTTCAGTGCAGCCTCATACGAGTTAATCAGGCCACACTCATAGGAGCAGCAAGGTCTTGTTTTCAGCAGCAGAGGTGGAGACCCTTTGTTACAGGCATACAGGCACTTCGGACCCCTCTGAAATGCAGCTTACATGAAATGGAATGCTTAACTGTAAAATTAACAGAATAAACACTGGGAAAAATCCTACACAACAAAACTTAGCAAGCAGATAATGCTTTTGTAGGAAGCATCTAGTTAGCCTTGGTCATTTCATCTATAGACCTCTCACAATTCCAAAGGCACCTCTGATTTCAAAGTTGTTCTTACAGCTTGCTTCTTCCCTGCTTAGTTGTTACAGTACTTCCTACTACTGAAACAGATCCACAGAGATGTAATAGTGATGTTTCACTCTTTTTTTTTTTTGTCTTCACATAAGCTCCCCATCCCCTCTTATCCCACCCATTTCTTTCCTTGGCTTTACCAAATTTGTATCAGACAAAGCTATGAACAAATAAACATTCCCCTTTTAAAATTTACTGTGTATGCTGTATTATCCCATAACTAAGCGATGGTCATCTCAAACATCTTGCATTAGTATAACAAGTTATTTTTATTTATTTTTACTATCTGCTTATTATCATCATTAAAAAGAAACAAAATACAAATTAAAGTGCAATAATCTATGGCAATGCAAACTGTTAAGTATCTGCTTTACATCCATAGAGGCAAGGAAATTAAAAGAGGCTTAAACTCTGAGCTAATGCTTCATCCCTAATTCATTCTCTTGTGCCCATATATTGAAGTCTCAGCACAATGAATCTGTGAAAAGACACATTAATGTGTTGTGGAACTGCTGTACAATAAATTGATAGGGAATTTAATGTAACTCTGATCAGAGGCTGGGCCAGAGATTTCAGTGATGAGTAATAGCAAGCAAAGAATTTACATTTTAATTCAGGCTTTCCTTGAATTTTTGGCTTTAATTGATACTCCAGATAACTTTTCGGAAAGAAGGCTTCTGCTGAGGCATCCTATACAAGGCAATGAATGCCTGACAGCAGTTAGTACTTTGTGATTTAATTGCACTGGTATTTCTTAAAAATAAAGGTCATATGTCTCAAAACAACATCAGGGTCTGAACCTCTTCTATTAAAGACTACTGAAAATTAAGTCCCCTTTACAACAGGAGGAGCATACCAGGTCTAATATTGCAGAGTATGTTTGTACTCACAAAGGGCTCACAAGATCTCATAATCCTATACTCTAACGAAGCAAAAATATCTTACATGGTATTAACATCAAATCAAACAGAAACTCATGCTCCGTGATAATTGTTTTCAAGAAGAGAAGCTTGCTTTTCAAAGTTCTTTCTGCTTCAAGCTTGCTTTTTAGATTTGCTATGAAATGAAACATGAATTTAAAGAGTGGAGATTCAGAAAAAATAGAGAAACGGTGTAGTCTTTCCACTGTAAATACCCATGCTGAAATGACAAAGGAGGTGTATGCAAAATCACTGCAAATAAATTGCTACATGTGCCGTATCTCGTAGAACTGCTGAACAGTTTTTATTACATTTTTGTTCATTGGAGATTGCTATAGAGATCTCTGCATTGCAAGTAGCCACACCATTTCAGTGCTTTGCTGTTTCAGAAGAGCAGATTTTCTTGATTAATAACAAAAGGTTTTGTTGGGATCAGAGCTGTTTCCCACCATCTCTATGCAAACCCGGCAACACAAACTGTGTACATTAGCATTTCAAGGAGCCTCCTATTAATGATGGCAAGAAAAGCTCCTCTCGGTGGGTAAAATCCATTTTGTCCTCTCTTGTGACATCTGTTCTAACTTTTAAAGCCAGAAAGGAAACTAGATAATGCCAGAGAGTCTTTTGATTTACTGTATTGGCACTTGTGATGATGCTTCAGACTATAAAAGCATGTAACCCTAGTGGACATACATGACTGTGTAAATGTGAACATCTGCATATTCCCACAACATAGGGTGAATTGAAGAAGCAATTCCAAAGTTCTTTGTTAAACTTTTAACTAGCTTTTTTTTTTTTTCAGGATTTCATAATTATGCTTTCAATTACTTCTATACCGTACAAAATTCAACATTTTAAATTGTATTTTTATGTAAATGCTTACTGCTACATATGTTTTTTGAATTAATTTCATTTCCCAAAGCTTCCCTTTTTTTTTTACATTTTTTTGTGAGTAAAGGCTTTGAAGCAAATGGAGTTGGAGGAACTCAAATATAGTTAAAAAAATAAAACCCAAACAGTGCAGGATAAGAAAAAGTAAACTAAACCCTGCAGATTTCTTACCTCTTTTACACCATCTGTGCAGTATTGCTCTTAGGCCTTTTACATTGGTCATCCTGGGAACAAAGCTGAAGGCAGATTCCAGCAGTTTTTCCATTCACTATTCATTCAGAGGTTCATCAGCTCCATATGGATCCAGCCAACTGCTGTGTTAAATCAGAGCCTTTTCCCAGAATTGACATGGTAATGAAGTCATGGTATTGCTCACAGAAAAGGCCTCCATAGGTATTTTCCTCTCTAACAAATCCAGCCTTTTCACCCCATTCACTCCCTAAAATTATCTCATAACGTTACAACATCTGTGAACTGGGTTTTTGCCTTTTAATGTCTAGCATGTTTTATTACACGACTATGCATTACATACTGGTTAACAAGACTCCTACATAACCAAGGAAATAAAATAAACTTGCTCTCTTCTTTTTGCAGCTCAGATTATTTCACCCCCTTTTAATTTATACCTACTACCTTTATTTTTCTCCATACAGAGCTGTCCAAAGTAGCGATGTACAAGAAACTTCCATTTTTCTGATCTCTATCAGAAAATGGGTTTAGAAATATTCCAGCATGAAAAATTCTTTAACCACAAAACAGTAAATCCATCAATATGAAAAACTGCTAAAGTGAAACTGTGTTAAGGGCAACTATGTTCTAGCTAACAGTTTCCTTCACTTCATGAGATGTATGGATCTGAACTTTGCTTGAACAGCAACAGTTCAATATTTGATAAAGAATAAATATGAAAAAGATTATTTCTGTAATATGCCATCTGCAATGAATATGTAGATACTGCCTTGATATGACAGCACAAGGTTGCTTTATTGGAATACTACATCTTTCTCATAGTAATAACGTACTTCGACAACTACGACATATGAAACCAGGTATCATTATAGACGTATATGTCCAAAGTTAGCATATAATGACTAAAGAGAACAGTTAGTTACTCACAGTTAGTGTAGCTTTTTGAGATGGCTTGTCAATATTTATTCAGGTTCTGGTCCACATATATCCCAATACTTTTTTTCTGTGTGAGTCAAGACTGCGGCATTTTGTATTGGAAAGCAGAAAGATATGGCACAGATGATCCCCCCTCCTGCACTCTAGTACAACACGCATCCAACTGCACCTATTGAACTTCTGGAACTTGCTCATACAGAAGGCTGTGGAGGGCAACTGCATCTGTAGGATCACAAAAAAATAAAAGAGAGAACTTAATGGACCAGAAGTCCAGAAACAGACACTGAAATGGCTAAGCAGGGCTACACTTCCTAACGTACCTAATACAGCTGCTCTGAGTGCTAGAAAAGCCAAGGGGAATGGACTGAAGAAAGTGGCCAGGCTGGTATGGTCTCCCTAAATAATATCTTGTTTCTCCTGGGGACAGAACACTTGGGCAGCTGGACCTTGGTCTAATCCAGTTAGTGCCAATCCCAAGCTCTTTTTTACATCCTGTGCATGTCACTGAGCCACCACTCAGATCCTAGAGCTCAGCATTCCTTCTACTTAAACAATGACTGCAGGACTGCTCAGCCAAAACTGGCAGCAAACATGGACCTACTATTCACAGTAAAGCTGTCTAAAGGTAGATGGAGCATAAGATCAAGTCATAGAGAACCAGGAACAGCTTTGGAGCAGAAACTGTGAGATTTCTTATTCTTATCCAAGACAAATATTTCATAGTGTCTCCGGTAACAAAAGACACACTATTAGTGAGCAACAATTAATGGTTGTCTTATGGGAGAGCTCCAAATGGGTATGGGACAACCCCCTGGGAGATGTGGGATATAGTCACTGGTACCTCAACTAGATGCTGTATTATAGCTAGGTGACAACATCCGTGCTGAATTAGTTCCTGGGAAAAAGTATTGTTGTCTGTGCATAGTGAAGTAAGGTGCATCAGCATGATTCTTTAGTGTATTTATCGTTCACTTGGAAAAGGAGCACCAAAAAAACACTGGTAGATATGTGCTTTTCATGGGTGAATTAACTCAGAAGTATCCACTATTAGTGGGACTAGCCAAACAAACATCTTTAATCCTGACATCTTTAAGTCTGTTATATTTAAGGATACAAAACTTCAGGTCTGAGGCTATTCCTTCCGTACGTTTAATTACGGACAGCTGCAAGGCACAGTGACAGCTTCACCTGCACAGTTACTCAGAAACATCACCCCGGGCGCAACCAAATTTGTCCTGGGATGCACGACAACAGTCCTGTGAAGAATAAAGAAGCACCTGATGAGTGTGTATAACATCCTTAAAATACTTAGGGCAATTTGGGAAAAAGAATCAATCTGTTTGTATAGAAATAGAAAGAAATGCAAGAAGAAATAACATCTGCAAAGAAACATTGCAAAGAAAAAAACATATGGAACTTCTATAGTAGATTATGCAAAAGAATACCCTTCCCACAATGACTATGTTTTACCTATCCATGAAAAACAGCTGCTGTCAGAGCCTACTCCATTTGTCCATGCTTTAGCTTTCAAGTTAAAGTTTCTACCACCGAACACGATGTTAACTGTTCAAGCAGGACAGACAGAGCAAACACGAATACAATAAAAGCTACCTACAGGCTTCTCTGGTCCCTCTGAATTGAGACAGGACCCTGTCCTGTGAAGTGATAACTCAGCCTTGGAAAAACAATTGCTGCAACAAAAATGTGGAACTGAGAGCAAAGCCCGACCAAGTTTCAAGTCCTGGTTAGTAAATCCTACTGCAGCAGGCTGCTGTGGCAGCCTTGTGCACCAACCAAATGGATGGTTTCTACCAAAGTTTTCCACATGCCCTTTGATACCAGGCAGTTACGAAGCGGAAATGTTATCAGCATCCTCAAAAAATCATATGTGCCTTCTCCACAGTGCCATATGTCTCCTCCTCTGCAGGCAGCAGAGTTCCCAAGTTGTCAAAACCAAGCTCTCCTGCACAGCAAAGAGCTGAGATGTTGACAAACACCAGGAGCAGCAGAGGGCAGGGGGCAGTGGAGGCAAATCCTCAGTGCTAGTGAGGAAGATGCACTTGCTCCAAGTCTCTGAGGACAGATGCTAACAAGCTGGGCATTCCCTGCATCTGGGACGCCTACTGACAATTGGTCTCACCCTTTCTTGGAAAGCTTTTTAACCTGTCAGTGCACTTTAGACCTCTTTATTCCTGACTCAGGCAGAATAGCTGTTTAAATGCAGCCTGGGGCGTGGATGTATGGCATTGTGTTATAACTGCCTCCCCAATATTTGCAAAGGGATCGCTTATCTATTATCTAGGTATTATGCATCACCCTGCTTGTTTCTTCCTACAGGCTACTACTGAAGCACAATACAATTGTGCTTGAAAGTCTTTTAACCCAATATACAAACATTCACCTCCATGAACAGCTCACACAATCTATTTACAATACTACACCTAATATTCTGAGATTGCAATGTAGTTATCTGCCTGTCAGCTACCTAGCTATAAACCCTTGGAGATGTATGCCAAAGGTAACTGATGGAGGGAAAGACAACTGGTTTGAAGCGGGATGCTGGCACCTCATCAAAATGGTGTTTATGCCATGGTCAGAGCTGCTCAGCTGTGCTCACATGTAGCACTGCTCTAATCATGAGAGGCTGAGGAAGAAATGAAGAGGAAAATCTGTCTTCTCAGTCAACCAGACCTCTATTTGCAGGTGGAAACCTGTATTCCAGCTCCTTCTTGCACTCCCGTAAGTATGGGGTGCTTGATTTAGTGGCACTACATGAGACAGGAAAAAAATTCCCTTGCCTTTCTCCCAGGAGTTAGAGCCATTTTGCTCCTCTATTACACTTATTAGAGTTGTAATGAATGAGAATAAATGAAAACATAATTTTGATTGGAATCAGACTCACAGGAGTTTGTAAAGGAAGGCAGAAGCCTTCCTCAGAGCATCCCACCCTGTGTCTACTTCTCACCTACTCAGGGATTTGGTATGGCAAGTTGATCAGTTTTACTGGTGAAATCCAGTTTTACTAATGAGCTGGAAAAAATATGCAACATGAGAACCAGCTTTGCCAGGCCCTCAGAAGGGGACACAAGTTAACAGGCACACAGGCTGGAACATTTTCCCAGATAGAAGTAGCTGGGATTTGAGGTACAAAAGCACAAAGTCTGGAGGAGACTCTGCTGCTGTTACCAGTGAAGGAGTAAGGAAAGACACTGCAGGGTCTTCAGACCTGCAATTCCTCCCAGGTATAAACACTCAATTTACAGAATGTAAAACAATATATGAATCACATGTGCAATATTAGGACCACAAGAAGACTAAAACATTGATTTTTTTTTTCCTCCATGGCTCACAGAGTTCAATTCCGCTCTGATGAAACCAGCAGAAATCTTTGCCTTCTTCTTTCAAAGGACAGACATGTTCTTTTACTCTCCCCTCACAGAGTCCTCCCTCTTTTCACCTCCCTTGCTTTTAGTCCAGCTTCCAACAACAGTCAGTGATTCCTGTAAATTAGCAGTAAGCGTACATCATTTCTATTTTTTATCTCACTTCTTTTCATCCTTCCTGCCTACTGCTGGTGGGGTTTGGTTTGTTTGGTTTTTCATTTCTAGCCATGTCTTTCCAGCTTCTCCTCATCTGTTCCACTCTTGAGTTGCTGTCCTTGCCATTTCTTCACATTCCTGCTTTCTACTTGACATTTGGGTTTAGGTACACCTCATGGCATCACTGTTTCCAATCCAACTACTACCTGCAGCTTTTGTTCGTGTTGACCAACAGTTCCCTAATATTTGCTGCCTCTACATTTAATCCATCACGAACCATAGGAGACCTATTTTTCCCATGCTTGTCTAACTCTTGAAATCAAGACTTCAGATAACTTGTAGCATTATAATCAATAGATATATAACTCAATAAAGAAATGTAGCTCAATTAATGACCACCCACACTTTCAAAAAAAAATAAAAAAATCAAAGGAGTAGAATATAGCACTGGTTACTTTAGCAGTTATCTTCTAGGTATCTTTTTTGGCCCTCCATAAGAGCATCAGCAGTTCAGACAAGCATGAGTGCACAGAACAAGAACACAGCCATAAAATTAAGTACTCATTAACAGTAAATTTCAGCATCCAGATTCCTTTCCAATATGCCAAGAAAACCAAGATGAAGGACTGGCAGGAATTTTAGGCCTGCTGTATATATTCTTTTGTAATTTCTTTAAAGATGAGGTGAAAGAAAATATGCTTAGTTGGTTGTAAGACTCTTCAGAAAGAAGCAAAGTTTGCTTTGAAGTTCACAAACTTGCAAGTATTTTAGCTGTAGCTGTTACATTGAACTGCTCGTTATGTGTAGCAGGAACAATCTGTTGCACTATTAATTTAAGAGCTCTATATACCTGCACGATTAATGATGCTGTCATTAAGAGAAGATGGGGTGCTTCCTTCGTAAGACCTGATCCTGCAGTGATCTTCACATCAGCAGGTTATCCATCAGTCTGGAACTCACAGATGGATCAGGCACCAAGCCCCTACTTTCTCTTCTTTACAGTTTATTTCTTTTGCAACTTACTTAGTTTCATGTCACCTTAGAAACGTCAGTTGGACTCAACTGACCACACAACTAACAGTCAGAGGCGTGTCAACAAGGAGATACTCGAGTTCACTCGCATTTAACTGATTTGGCCATGTTAATTACAACCACAACAGAGCCTGGGTACCTGTGCCAGGTAGCAGCAACACCAGAAGCAGACATTCTCTGGAGACAACTCTTGAGTGCACCGAGTAGACGTTGATGTCTGCTGACTATTTGTTTTTGTCACCTGAAGAGCAATCGGGTGTACAAGAAATCCATGCAGGACTGGCAAGGATGGCACTCCAGGTATGTGACTCCTTTACCAATATGGAGTAGCAGCTGGAGTCCAGATGGGAGAACTGAGTACTTCCAATAGTGCTGGACTCCTACAGCTAGATCAAGCCTCTGAATGCTGGTGGTTTAATCTGAGGTGAATCCCATGCTTACTTATTAAAAATGCTGCACAAAAATATGTAAGGAGATTTTAAGACACATCTTTCTTAAGTTTCATGGGACATAGTAGACCTCTGAGAGACAGCAGAAGAGTCACCATAGTTTTGGTGGTTTGAGGGGGATGAACGTCCAACGCACACTCAACCTTTATAATTGTTCTATATTTTCAGGGGTTACTTTAGTAGAAAAATGACTGGAAATCTT